GTTGGCCCAGGATCGAACATTGTTTCGTTCTGCTGTGCATGGGGTCGCTATGAGTCGATTCCGACTCGATGGCACCTGACAACAACAACAACAACTAGCAAACATGTACATACACATGGGAACTAAATTCACAAACGCTTGTGTAGGCTACTCAAGACTGACATATAACACTGAGTATTTAAATAAAAATACAAAACACAGTGTTTCAAGGGCTTGTGTGCATACATGTTTGCATGTATGTTTCTTGAACTGCCCAGCCTGCTATCTAAGGCCCCTTTTTGTCTGACTTGCCTTGCTGAATTATTAATTGAAAGTGTTTTTTAGGCAGTGGTTGTCACTGTATTGGACTAAGTTCCTGGGAGTACAATGATGACCCATATAGATGCAAGGGACTTGCATTCTGGGCAAAGGGTGGTGGGTGGTGGGCATGGTAGTAGGATAATCAATATGTTAATACAAATAAAGCAGGAGCTATGAGAGTTTATGGAGTCTTGGTGTGGCACTGTAGGATAAATATCGGACTAGTATTTACAAGGTTAGCAGTTCAAACTCAACCAGTAGGACCTTGAAAACCCTATGCCGTGTCGCTATGTGTTGGAATTGACTTGATGGCACTTTTCCCAGAGAATTGGAATGGGAAGAATCAAGAAAAAGTGTTGAGGGCTAGAAATGGCTGTGGTGGCAGTTTTAATAGTATGTACTTGTGTTGGATGGAAAGCTAGATTAAACCAAGTTTTCTCAGTCTTTCCTTTCCTAGGCCCCACTGGTCTAGGTTAAAAGGGAGGGAACTAGTATTTGTTGAGATCCTACTTTGGACTCAAACTCTGTGTCTGGCACTTGATGTGCTTCATTGCACTTGATCTTTGTATGAGCTTGTGAGGTACCATTTGCTTGAAGAGAGAACTGAGGTGCAGGTAAGTCAGTAACCTGTCCCATTTGATAAAGAGCTAGGACTGGGCTCCAGCCCAATGTGGTTCCAGAGTCTTACTATGAAGTAAACATACATGATTTCTGGCTTTCTGTGACTATATTTATCAGTTACAATAAGGGGACATTAAAAACAAAAACAGTCATGTTGTTGAGAGTAAATTTTATCACTGTGACTTTAAAACACAAATAAAAATAATAATTCCATTAGTAGAGGAAAATTGTACCATACTGCTGAGTGTAAATTTTATTGCTACAGAAACTCTAAAATACAAAGATGATAAATGAAAAGTTGGAACATTTATTATTAGGAATATATTTTATTGGTATAACCAAAGCATAAACAAACTGAATAATTCCAGTACTTGTTAAAAATTGCAGTCAACCTGTTGACCACGTACATGACTCTGACTAAAATACAAGGTTATGTCTGGGCAGAAGACCTCCAGTGGATGGGGGTAGAGAGCTGAGGGTGGGATAAGGGAGGTGAGCATTTCATTAAATAGACTCTGTGAAGCCAGAGGGCTAACATATTTGCGGCTGTTGGGGGGAACTCAGAAAAAATCCTATATCCAAGGCATTGGAAGGAAGGGCTTTTAGTCCACGATTCTTTCAGACATATGTAATGCCCCTTGAGGAATGGTAGGAATGATGATGAATCACTGTGGATTCCAGACAGTACTGATGAAGGAATGAGCTGGGGGAGTTGGGACTGATGGTCCTTAGTGGCGTTAATCAGGAAGTGACAGTAGTGGCCTTGATCTGGCCAGTGGATGATCTGTCCTAAGGTCAGATGCCAGCAAAGTGGGGGTGGGGATGAGACCTCATATAGCAGCACAGCAGACAACAGGCTAGCATACTCAGGGAGAAGGAGGCACTGTGCTAAGGGTGCCCATTGTTGTTAGGAGCCATTGAGTACGTTCCAACTCATAAAGCCATTCTGCACAACAGAACAGATCACTTCCTGGTCCTGTGCCGTCTTCACAATTGTTGTTACACGCCGGAGCCCATTGTTGCTGTCACTGTGCTAGTCCATCTCTTTGGAGGCCTTCCTCTTTTTCAGTGACCCTCCACTTCACTAAGCATGATGCCCTCACATTAATTTTAAGAGGCATTCATCTCGTTTTTCAGATGAGGAAACTGAGGTGTAAGGTAATTTACTGAGGTGAGGTAATTTCCCCAGAGTCACGCTGAGGACATAATAGAGTACAAGTCTGGAAGTAGATTTGTCCAGCTTTAGTGCCCATGTTCTTTCTTTTCAGTTGTTCATATTGAATTCCATTAAGATGATTGCATGACATTGGGGCCTATGAAAACTTACTGGGGAAAGGAAAAAAGATATGAAGAAAGCCTTTATTTGTGGGCAACTCATGTTTGAGACTTGGACAATAAGTATGGCCCTCTTGACTTTTCCATTGTTCTCAGTAAAAAATTCACATGGCTTGTACATGGGAATTACTGATCACATGGCCCTTGGTTAGAAACATTTTGTTTCCCCTTAAAATAGGACATGGGAGGATAGTGGTGAATAGATTTATGCTGTTGCAGTTTTACTGAGAAACCAGCTTTAGGTGGAGCCATTTCCTTTATTATTCTGCAGTCATTTTAGAAATCTGGTGAGACCTGCTCAAAGTATTTGTCCCTCAAATTTATACTTTGCACTGTTTTTCTTCTGTAGCAAACCAAAATGAAGAAGACCACAGTGGTTGTGGTCTTCTGCCTAGTTTTCTTGTGACATCCCCACCCCTACTTATAAAGCCGAGAATATTCTGTGATGCTCCAGCCATGTGAAGGCTGGCATCTTATGTTAGTATGACACGGAGTGTAGGCTGAGTATGTAGTCTCCTGTCTTCATACCCTAAGTGGTAGCTGATTGATGGCGCTGTATTTAAAAGGCACCTCCCTCTATTTGGCAGAAGAGGACCCGTACAAACCCTTACTGCCTCAGATTGAGCTTTGTTACTTACTGCTCCTTTGCACACTGGTGTGCTGCACCAACTCTACACGTTTCCTACACCACTGATTGAAGTGCACTTTGCTGGATGCTTCTTGGTGAGAAGCTTGGTGGTAACTGTTACAAGTCTTGGACTCCTGGTATGGCACTATAGGCTCAGCACTGGAAATCGAAATCACAAGGTTGTCAGTTCAAACCTATCAGTTGCTCCTTGGAAACCCTATACAGGGTCTCTATGAGTCAGAACCAACTTGATGACACTAAACAACAACAACATCACAAGTTCTTAGAAGTGTGTTTCCCTTTTAACCCAGTAATGGCATTTCTCAAACCTCATAATAAAGGCAATCAATGGATACATCCATGCAAGGACGTTTTTATATAAAGAACAAGAACACAGGTGTTTATTGTTTTTTCTATATTAGACACTAATCTCTGAGCTTCAAAAGTATTTATCAGACAGATGTACAAGATCAGAAAAAGTCTAAGTATTTTGTTGTTGTTGTTGTTATGTGCCGTGGAGTCAGTTCCGACTCATAGCAACCCTGTACAGGGTTTCCGAGGCTGGAAATCTTTATGGGAGCAGCAAGCCTCATCTTTCTCCCGCGGAACAGCTGGTAGTTTCGAACTGCTGACCTTGCGGCTCACAGCCCAATTCATAACCACTACGCTACCAGAGTATTTTAGACATAGGAAATTGATTTAATAAATCATAGTAAATTTTCATATGTAGCCTTTTAAAATGGTACAGATTTATAATTATTGACACAAATGGATGTTTATAGTGATAGTGGTGGTGTATGTTTTCAGGTCCATAGGACAAGAGTAGAACTACTACCCCATAGGATTTACCAAGCTGTAGTCTTTACAGGAGCGGATCGACAGATGTTTTCTCCTGTGTAGCAGATGGTGGTTTTGAACCAGTGACCGTTTGGCTGGCAACTGAATATTTAACTGATATGCCACCAGGATAAAACCAGATCCCAAATAAGACTGGATGGTTCTGTTTGTGTAGAAAGTATTTGAAAAAAATATATACTAAAATGTTATATTGGTTACGTTTTTTTGTATAGCAAAATTGTAGATGATTCTTAACTTTTTTTCTTTAACTTTTATTTTTGAATTGCAAATTTTAATTATGAAAAAGCAGTTCAGCACAGGTCTGTAGGAGTAATGGCTTAAGAAATGTTCCTTGTCTCTTTGGGGCTGTTGAAATTGCCATCAGACTTTCACCTTGTGCCTTTTACATTTTTCCTCTTTCTGCAGCAAAGCCGTTGAGAGCTTAGCTGAAGGGGGTGGCTCTGAAGTTCAGCGGGTGAAAGAAGATGCTCGGAAGAAGGTGCAGCAGGTTGAAGACTGCCTAACCCAAAGGATACTCCTTTTACAAGAGGCAAGTCTGGAAACCCTGAGGAGAAGCATAGTACTGATCATGGGTTAACTATCAGAATTTTAGCAGAAATTGCAGCTTTTCTTATCTCCTGGGTTCCAAGCCCCATTCTAGGCACTTTACGTATATGATTTATAACTTTTGTTGTTGTTGTGAAATGCCGTTGAAGTCGGGTCTGACCCATAGCAGCCCTGTATAGGGTTTCCGCCGACCTTTGCAGTCTAGCGTATTAACCCACAGCGCCACACCAGGATTCCTTACACCCTGCTAAGTGGTCCTTCTTGTCTCTCTTCCTATGGATGAAGAAACCGAGGCATAGAGAGAAATATCAAATTTAAACCTGGATTCAAATTTGTGACTGCTGATTTTAAAACCCATGTTCTTTCTACACTGTACATTGCCTAATTAGGGATTATCTAGTTTAGTCTTTTCATTTGATAGGTAAGAAAATAGCGGAGCAATGAGGACGCTCTACTTAATCTAACATTAACCAAGCTTGCAACCAGATTTCCTGACTTTTTAGTGCATTGCCAAATGAGCCTTGATGGTGCATTTGGTTGACTGCTAACCAAAAGATTGGTGATTCGAACTCACTGCCTCTCTGCAAGAGAAAGCTGAGACCATCTGCTTCTGTAAAGACTTGAAACTTTGGAAACCCTAGAGAGTAGCTCTGGAATCAGCTCTAGATAGTGAGTTTGGCATTTGGCTTATCCATCCAACCCCTTTTCCAGTATCCAGCCTCTCTTTATTTGGCACTGGGGTTCGCTCCCTTTTCTGCTTACTCTCAGTTAATTGTTTCCTATATTTGCATTGGGAGTCATAGGGTGTTTCCTAGCTTAAATTTGAAACAGTTTTCCTCTATGTTAAGCTCAGCCCATGCTAATAACATACAGTACCTGATGGGGTTCTGTTCTGACTACTCCATCATAAGTTGATTCTGATGTAAGTCAAATACATCTTTTTTTTGTGTGCCAATTTTCATCATTGCCTGTTATTATCAGTGTCTTTATAAATCTTATTTTTGTCATTGGTGGTTAGAAACATTACATATAAACCTACAGGTGTATATATAGTTCAGTATGAACATGCATAAAAATTACACAAACCGTAAACATTTATTCTGATGAAGAAGAGGAGTTGGATCATGTTGATATTGTGTCAGTTGTGGTAAGAACTTGTGGAAGGTTCTGGATCATCTGGATTATCCCTGGGAATAGTCATGGTATTTCTAATCAGAAAATTAGTTAAGAGTTATTTGAATGTTGTTGTTGTTAAGTACCGTGGAGTCAGTTCCGACTCACAGTTACCCTGCACAGGTTTTCCGAGGCTGCAATGGTCCATTTCTTTTTTGCTTTGTACTATTTTGTAGTAACATCTCACTGCTTCTAAACCTGCCATTTGAGTTAAGCAAAGCAGTCAGTGTTTGAGTCCGGGTTGTCAAGCAGCTAAAGCCCCTACGTAACTCTTGGGTCTTTGAAGTTCATCATTTCATTTCAGTTTCTCTACCTGAAACTATATGGAACTCTGGTAGCATAGTAGTTACGAGTCTGCCTGCTAACCTCAAGGTCAGAAGTTCGAAACAACCAGTTGTCCCGTGGGAGAAAGATGAGACTTTCTGCTCCCGTAAAGATTTACAGTCTTGGAAACCCTATACAGGGTCGCTATGAGTCGGAACCAACTCCACTGCACATAACTAACACCAGCTGAAACTATATGAATTGGTGCCCCAAAACATTTACTGGGGTGTGTGTCCAAAATACAGATGGGGAAACTGAGGCTCAGATTGGGTAAGGAATTTACTTAGTCTAGGTCATAACTGGTAGAGTTGGAGTCAGAAAAAAACTGAGTTCAAATTTTGAATTTTAGTTAAAATGTAATTGTGAGGTTTTAATCCATTGGTCTATGATCTTTACGTTTCTCAGTAAGTGCTTTCCGCTGTTTTGAAGTCACTAGCTTGGCATTATTTGATTTGAATCCCTAGTCATCCAATTACTAGCTTTGTCATCTTGGATTCAGCACTTGCCTTCATTGAGCATCTGGTTTCCCTGTGAAATAAGGATAATAATACCTGCTTTGCAGCAATAATTGTAACAGCAGTAGCTGTAGCTAACAATTGATTGAGGTCTTATCATGTGCTAGGCCCCTTACAGACACATTGACTAAGTTAATTCCGCCAATAAACTTGTGTGGCAAATGCTTTTGTCACACACAGAGTGGCTAAGTCAACTTGTTCAAGGTTACACAGGCAGTAAATACCTATTAGTCTCCAAAAAGATAACTTTTTAGGGTGGGTGAGGATCAAAGATAATATAACTAAAGCTCCTTGCTTAGATCCTGGCATTTAGGAGGCCCTCAGTAAATGGCAGGTTTTGATGTTTGTTGTCTCACAATGTTGGGATATGCTTTTCCTCCAGCTCCCACTGAGATTGACAGGCAGACCATTTAGGAAGACAGTTGTGGAGGAGGCACTGTGAAGGAAAGGGGAAAGAGCAGGAGGAGAAAACACACAGTAATTGTGCTTCCTGTTTTACAGAGTCTCAGAGCAACTATGTGATGGGATGGTGATTGGGAAGCAGGGGCGCAGAGAGGTTAAGTGATTTGCCTAATATCACACAGCAACTAAATGGTAGAGCTGGGTTTTGAAGTCCCTTCAGTGTGACTTTTATTCTTGTGATGTAATCAGAGGCAGTTGGCATGAGTAGCTGGCAGTTTGTATCTATTGCCAGGTCAGCTCTATGGGCACCAGGGCCTTTCCCCCTAGCCTACCCATTGCCTGCATTTCCTTTTTGGCTTCTCTAGCTTTTAGGAAGAACCAAGAGTGTTTTACTACCTAAATCACCTTGTTGATACAGAAAATGTAGTCATTATCTTGTATTAAAAAAACGTGAGAGGAGGCAGCGGGTTGTGGGTGAATTTGTATGCAGATTATGGAGACTATTTAGAATTTACATAGGTTTAGATATTGAGAGGTGCATTTCTCCTTATTCTCAATGAAGCTGTAAATATTGATCTGATTTTTCAAAACCAGAAATAGAGTTCTTATAGAGTTGAATCTTTTTCATTGGAAATGCCTATTACTCTTCAGGATACAAGAGGGAAAAATGGGTGGCAAATGTATTTATTACTGATTCTCCCCATGTACAGAACAATTCAAGGAGGGGAAATGTGCTGGAGAAAAAGTCATAAATATTTATATTTTAATCCAATTTCCTTTCAAAATATTCCCAATTGTATTGAAAAATTTCATCTAATGCATTTAATTTAACTCTAGGATGTGAAAACCGCCCAAGCAGAACTGGAAAAGGCCTTTACAGGAACGGAGAAGGAGAAGGCTCTTCGGCTGAGTTTGGAAAACAGACTTACAGAGATGAAGAAGATGCATGAAGGTGACTTGAAGACGGCTCTGGCTCTGAAAGAAAAAGACAGGTCTGACTCTTCTTGTGATACTGACATCTCACATCTCATTATCTAGTAGCACAGGGAAAGGATTACTCCCATCTTTCCCTTCTGCTGCTCCTTGTTCTCCACAGAACTTGAGTGGCTTCCGGGAACACATCCAACACAGTGAAAGAGAAAACTAGGATTAAATCAGAGTGAAAAGAAAAGGGGTGGAATAGGGACATGAGGACAGAGAAAGTTGATGTTGTTGTTTGGTGCCATCGAGTCGGTTTCGACTCATAGCAACCCTGTGCACAGCGGAATGAAACACTGTCAGATCCTGCGCTATCCTCACAGTTGTTGCTATGCTTGAGCCAATTGCTGCTGTCACTGTGTCAATCCATCTTGTTGGGGGTCTTTTTTTTGCAGACCCTTCACTTTACCAAACATAATGTCCTTCTCTCCTGATAATATGTTGGAAGAAAGACAAAGTCTGGCCATCCTGACTTCTAAGGAGTGTTCTAGCTGTACTTCTTCCAGCAGAGATTTGTTTGTTCTTCTGGTATTCTGTAGTATTTTTAATATTCTGTTCCAACACCATAATTCAAACACATCAATTCTTCTCCCGTCTCTCTTATTCATTATCCAACTTTCATGTGCATGTGAGGCTATTGAAGGTACCGTGGTTTGGGTCAGATACATTTAAATCCTCTAACATATTTACTCGTTTAACAGTCTTTCTTTTTAAATTGTGAATTGAGTGATAGTTTACATGGGAGAACATTGGTTTTACACTCAACCGATCGTATTTTGTTTTCATTGCCGTGATTACAATCTCCTCCATGCACCATTGGTTAACAGTATTTGGCTCTATTCCTTTTTTCTGATGTATACAAAAACAGGAATACTTAATCGTTTAAACAACCAAAGGAGACATTTTGCAAGCCAGCCTCCTCTTGACTGCCAGCACACAGACTTTCTCCTTCCATGAATCTAGAGTTCTCAGCTGCTCTGTCTCTCCATATACTCTTATCTTTACCTCCATCTCTGGTGTCACTGTTTCTCTGGTTAGGATCCCATCTCCTGCTCATACTCTTCCATCTTGATGGTCTTAAGAGCCTCTGTTCCTGGAATATAAGATTATCTACTCTTCCCTTTATGTTACACAACTTTTACCTTTACTGTTGTGACAATTGCAATTAGTCATGATAACAATTACGACTGAATCACAAGAATCCTATCCACATTTCCTTTCACCAGAACCATCTAGACAAGATGGAAACTATTCAGTGGGGATTCTACCTTCCCCCGCTTGCTCTGAAATTAAACTCCTTCTTGAAAACTTGTAAGCCAGTCACTTTGTGCCTTTATAGCCCTCTTATCTTCCAATTTTAAGTAGCCAATGTCTAAGATGCCTGTCCCTATCAACTCTGCATACTGAAGGGGGGATAGGCTTTATCCTTGATGTGAAGACGCCTTCCGTCTCAATTGGTATTTTGAACTACTACATCCATAAGTAAAGGTCAAGTTCATCAAATCGTAGCAATTTACACTTGCTTCCTGTATCAAACTCTTTTATCTTCCTCTAGTTGAGTCAACGGATACTATCCGCATGTTTGGGCATTCTTGTGCGCCTCCTTCCATGTCTCCTATGCTTCATATCAGCTGGATGCTTCACTTTCAGCTCTAGCCTTCATTGGTTCTTGAACATATGCTCCCTCTTGAAATGGCTGAACATCGACCATTTATTTTTGGTACAGTGACTCTTTGTTTACCTTCTATCTTCTTTTGATGCTTTCTGCATCATTCAATATTTTGCCCATGGAGTCCTTCAACATTACAAGTCAAGGCTTGAATTTTTTCTTCAGTTCTTTCATCTTGAAAAATGCTGAGCATGTTTTTCCCTTTTGGTTTTCTAACTCCAGGTCTTTGCATATTTCATTGTAATACTTGACTTTGTCTTCTTGAGCTGCCCTTTGAAATTTTCTGTTTAGCTCTTTTACTTGCATGTTTCCTCCATTTGCTTTAGTTACTCTATGCTCAAGAGCAAGTCCCAGACTTTCTTCTGACTCTTTTTGGTCACCATGGTATTTTCTTTCTTTCCTGTCTTTTAAATAACCTTTTGCTTTCTTCCTGTTATGTTCTTGATTGCATCCCACAGATCTTTTGGTATTCAGACTTTAGTGTCTAATGCATTAAATCTGTTCTTGGGATTGTCTTTAAATTCAGGTGGGGTTTATTCACGGTCATATTTTGAGTCTCGTGGACTTGTTTTAATTTGAATTTTAATTGTTTAAATTTTAATTCAGCTTCAGCATGAGCAATTGATGGTCTGTTCCACAGTGTTTCCTGGCCAGTTTTGGTTCATGATATTGGGGTTTTCAACAAACAGTCTACTCCCATGTATGTAGTCAGTTTAATTTTTGTGGGTTCCATCTGGTGCGGCTCATGTTTATAATCGCCTTTTAGGTTGTTTAAAAAAGGAATATGTAATGAGAAAGTCATTGGTCTTGTAAAATTCTCTCAGGCGATCTCCAGCATTATTTCTATTACCATGGCCTTATTTTCCAACTACTGATCCTTCCTCTTTGTTTCCAACCTTTGAATTCAAATCACTAGTAATTCACAATGCATCTTGATTGGTAGAATTTTTCAATTTTACCGTCATTGCTTTTGGTGGTTGGTGCATAAATATGAATAATAGTGGTATTATCTGACCTTCCTTGTAGGCATATGGATATCATACTGTAGCAGACAGCATTGCACTTCAAGATCAATCTTGAACTGTTTATGATGAATGTTATGTATGCCATTTCTCTTGTAGCTGTCGTTCCACACATAGTAAATCATATGGTTGTCAGATTTAGAATGGGCCACCACCAGTCCATTTCAGCTAGAATATCAATCTTTATGTTTTCCATTTCATTTTCACAACTTTCAGTTTTCCTAGAGTCATACTTTGTACATCTGTTGTTCTGATTATTAGTACATGGCTTGCAGCTGTTTCTCATTTTGAGTTGCGCCCCCTCAGCAAATGAAGGTTCGTAAAGGCTGCCTCCATTCACGTTATTATGATCAACTCTGCTTTGAGGAAATAGCTCTTCCCTGGTCATAGTTGAGGAGCTCATCTTCCGGTACTGTAATTGACAGTGTTCCACTGTATTTATAAGATTTTCAATGGCTAAGCATTTATCTGTAAGCGCCGCTGGAATCTGGTCACTATGGGTTACCCTTTTTGTTGTTGTTGTTAAGTGCCGTCGAGTCGGTTCCGACCCATAGCGACCCTTGTACAGGGTTTCTGAAGGTGTAAATCCTTACGGGAGTAGAAAGCCTCATCCTTCTCCTGCTGAGCGGCTAGTAGTTTCGAACCGCTGACCTTAAGGTTCGCAGCCCGATTCGTAACCACTACGCTACCGGTATGTAAAATACTGGCGGCATAGCTTCCAATATCACAGCAACATGGAAGCCACCACCATACGACAAGCTGATAGATGAGTGGTGGAGATAGTTGATAGAAAATCATGCTGAGAAGTTGTACTTAGATATTAAATTTCGAATGCAATTTTGCTGTAAGCTTCCTGGTGATTGTTGTCAAGTTTGTTCTGACTTGTAGTGACCCTGTGTAGGGTTTCTGAGGATCAGCTGGTGGGTTTGAACCACTGACCTTGTGATTAGCAGTCCGGTACTTATCCTACAGCTCCATACCAGGACTCCTGGTGGCTGTAAGAAAAAGTGAAAAACATCGTTGATAGAAACAAATTTTGCATTTCTTAAAAGGTTAAACAAGATAGTAGCTCAGGATAAGCCTAGTTTTCCTTGGCACTATCAGAAATTTCTCTTTGGGTCTTCATAAAATTATCAGTGAGTCACTACATCCCTAAATTAATACTTGTGGATTTTGTGTGACCTGTCATCATATCTTATATTTCCTTATTTGTTGTGCTGGGGAATGTACACCAATTAGCCTGTTTCTACATGTAGAAATCAGTGAAAATAATTACATTTTTATTTAAAGTTGTGCAATCATTGTTACCTTCCTTTTCCCAGTGGTTCCTCTTTCATTAGTAACCTTTAGGGACAGCGAGTTTATGCTATCTAATACTTTGAGTTTAGATAGTTCTTGGAAGAGTATAATCCTCAAGGCAGTTAAACTGTTGTTTGGTTTTAAGAAGACTTCATTGACAATTTTTGGTGTGAGATTTAAAGATGATTTCAGAGCAATAGTTTTAAGGAACCATTCCATCTCTGTGGCTCCAGAAAGTTTGGGGTCCATGTGAGTTTGAAATTCTGTTTTACATTTCTCCTTTTTTGGTCAGGATTCTTCTCTAAAATCTTTGATCAAAATATTCAGTAATGGTAGCTAGGCAAGTTCCAGTTCTTCTGGTCTCATGGCAAAGGATACAGTTGTTCATGTAGGTAGTTAGTCAGCCTTCCATCGTCTCCTGTTCCTGACTCTCCTGCCCTCTGTGGCTCCAGGCAGATAGAAACCAATTGGGTGACCACTTGCAAGCTAAGTAAGACCCTAGGCCCTATACAATGAGTTAGGAGACAGAAGAATTGACACTTTATTAGGCAAATTAACTGGGGTGGCCTGTGAAAACATGATCCTAAACCTCTCAACTAAAAAACCAAATCTCATGAGGTTTTTAATGGTACATGAGCAACCTCAGCAGGCAGTCCTTGTTTTTGTTGCAAATTATCACACAACTTTTGCCACTTTGACTTTTTATAGGTGTACAACTTATTGACAGCAATTAACATTAATCGGCTCTCCAACCATGTCCTTAATCAATGTGATTTACCATTAATCCCTCTTTGGTCGCTGATAACCCTTAATAAATTTTCGTTTCTACCTAATTTCCTATTCTTGTCTTCTTTTTATATAAGTGAAGACTTACTGTATTTGTCCGGGGACTGACTTCACTCAGCATATGCCTTCAGACTCCATCCATACTGTCACAGCGATCAGGACTTGAACTGCCTGAGTAGTATTTCATCACATGTACAGTTGCTCGCTGTATCTGAGGGTTCTTCATCAAGGATTAAAC